TAGTAAAATCTGAGATGTCAATTTTCAGATCAAATTTAATGCAGAAACAACAAGATACATAGCTTTTCCCTGATTATCTTTTGTTGGATGCKAAATAAGGGGTTTATTGAAGCTGTTGAAAATTCACAGTAGTAAATGTGTAAATTTTCTTTTCCTTCTCTCTTCCTCTCTTTCCCTACCCCCTTTTTTTTTAACAAAGGGAATTATGCTGGCAGGGGCACTGTTGGAATGGTGGCACGTTTTGTCCCTCCTCATCTCAACAACAAATCCTGCAGAGTAACATCCCTGTGTTACAGTGAAGATGGCCAAGAGATCCTTGTGAGCTACTCCTCAGATTACATTTACTTGTTTGACCCCAAGGATGACACAGCACGAGAACTTAAAGTTCCTTCTGCTGAAGAGAGAAGGGAAGAGGCAAGTGATTTAGATGACCTCCTTTCATGTTTTATGGTTTTTAACTTGTAGCACACAAGAAATACCATCATTTGTGTTTCCCTTTAATCTGAAAATAATGTTGCTGATCATAGACTAAGGTGTGACAAGTAGCTTGTCACAAAAATGGTATATTTTTAATGCATACTTATTAATGTATGTATTTATTTGCTGTATTTTATCACTCTTGTTTTCTTTCTTGTCTGGTTTCCCTCTCTTAGAGATGAGAAGGCATCTGCCTGAATCTTGGGTTTTGATACCAGCAAGGGTGGTAGGTCACTCTKGTAATTGAGGTGTATGTTCTGTTACTTTTCATGCCATAAGAAGCATATTCCTTGAAATCAAATGTTAATACTCCTTGTTAAAAGTTATCATTTCATAACAGATATGAGGGAGTACAAGATGTTTAGATCAAGRAGCTTGAGCCATTGTTACTAAGCAGTATTAGAATTTTCAAAACTCAAGCAGTTGTTTATTATCAGCTCAGTTACAATGATGCTGACCCTTCCAGTCTGAATTTTCTGATCAATATAAAAAAAAGTGCCTTTAAYTACAGTGAAGTTGTTTCTGTCTCTCCCTCTCCACTCCCCCAGCCACCCACTGCTTTTTTTTTCTAGTGTTCTGCTCACCCTTTCACAAACTCTGTATCCTCAGCTCCTTATCTTTAGTCTGAGTCCACAAAGGAGTTCACAACGAATTGTCAGCACCCTGCTGTCCTCACCTGCAGGATCAATGTGATGATAATGATGATGATTTCTCTTTCCTCTTGCTGTGGGAAGTGTGATGTTGAAATTTCCTTCCATCTTTTTTTCTGAGTATCTGTTTGCAGCCATTTTTATACATTTTCCAACACATTTTACGTGATGTGTTTTCTTATCAATGCAGCGTGATTTTGCTTTTAAATGCTTTTCTTTGTCCTTGTTATCCCTAAGAGTTGTTGTTTGGGTATTTTTATTTCAGCCYGGCTTCAAGTGGTATAGAGTAGAAGAAAAGTAAAGACTTCTTCCTAAATCTGCTGGTGAAGTCATGAAAGTTAACACTGTGATATGCTTTCACCAAGGGCCTTTGAATTTAGTTTAAAATTGTTTAAACAAATTGTGGGTTGGTTGTTTTTCGGTTGGGGTTTTTTGTTTGGTTTCTTATGTTTTTCTTAAGGCCATAAATATCCAGCCTATACACTTGATTTCAAACTCTGAGCTGTCTTTCTAAAGAAGCAAAAAGCACTTCCTGTTTCTCTTCAAGGTGCTGAAAGTAACACTGCCCATTTAGTGGTTGTTTTACACTTCCTGCTGCAAAAAAAAGTTGTTCTAAAAATCACAAAGAAAGTAGGTTAAAAAAATAAACCGAAGTTGATGCGCTTAAATTTTCCTCTTTTTTTGTTAGTGTCTGATTGTTTTCTCTTTTTGCTTAATTGCAAGTCCACATTTTGTTAAACTGAAGCTGCCATATAGTTTCTAATGTGAAGAGGTGAATATATCTGCAGAATTCAGGCTGAATTCTAGAAAACCGTAATCATACTGGTCACGATAGAAAGTTTCAATTAACATAATAAAGTTAATATTAAAATAAAAGCTGCATTAGTTCTGGGAGTCATTGATTTAGACTGTGAAGCTAAAACTAATGCATTTTGTTGATAAGTGTTGTGCTTATTCATGGTTGATTTGAACATAAGACTGACATTCTGGATTTTGGTGATAGATACCAATTTAGGTGACTTAAGAAAATTGAGATACTGCATTTATATTTGGGCTTGGAATCCTGTACTGTAGAACATAAATAGCTGTGTAATGCTTTTTTCTCTTTTTTTCTYTCCCCCAGTTACGTCAGCCTCCCGTTAAACGTCTGCGGCTCAGAGGGGATTGGTCAGATACCGGGCCAAGAGCAAGGCCTGAGAGTGAGAGAGAGAGAGATGGTAAAAGCATTTGCAGTTGGAGGGGGGTTGTTGTCTTTGCTGCTGTGTTTTGTTGGGTTTGGGGTTTTTTGTTGGTTTATTTTCTACTTAATATTTCCAAATTACATGCTTCAGATTCTCCTTGTTTTAACAATCAGCCAAGCCTTAAGATGGTTTTCTTAGAGTTTAACACAGACCTGCTATTGTACAATGATTTTTAAAATTGAAAATATTGAAAACATTCTTGCCAGTAATATGATATTACTTCAGTTAGGTTGTTGTAAAGAAATGAGATATTTTTTCATTGTCATTACTCAGGGATTAACACAAGCACTTTTTTTTTGTAGTCACACCTCACATACAATCACAATTACAAATTAAATTCTCTTTAATGGTTGCATTAGGGGACTGGAATTCAAAGCAACAGGATTCTAATATTATACTTTCCATTTTTATGCCATGTAGTAACACTGGCACATTTTTATGCTTGTATTTTCATGTTTATAATATATTACTCAGTCGCKTGAGATTTTAGTAAATAAAGCATTTCCAAAACATTACTTGGGTGTCAAAAAATGGGATCCTTTTGTCACTCRTCTTACTTTCCATCCAGTTATGTGTTTCTGTTTAAATCTGACAAGCTGTGGCATTCCWAGTATTTGATTCTAGTTCCCTTAAATCCTTTCTCCCTTTTCAGCCTACAGTATCCCTTTCCAGATTTTCTGTGCTGGTGTTCCCATTTTCCTGATTCCCCAAACTAGAATAGAAATGTCTGTAGTGTCTAGGATTCTGTACCTGACACAGGCAGTAGGAGATGCTGTTTAGGGAGAGAACATGAGCCTGTCCTCTTACCTTAAGCTGTCTTTGTTGYTCCTTCAGTATTTTGAATCACTGGATTAGAAACGTTAGAGGAAACATTTGTACCTTTACAGTCTTCAAGAGGTTCTGTTGTCTGTGAGCTTCTGTAATAATTTTTTTTATCTTGTTGATAACATTTCCTATGGCATCATTAACCACGTTTTGTCTATTTTCTTTGGCTGTTKCAATTTCATTTTTTGTGTGTTAAGGTCAGAGCTCCTCTGTTTGAGGTGCAGGAGGGGAATGAGGGATCCCAGCAGAGGRTCAGAGACCTGTAGTGTGGAAATGAGGATAGACAGGGGCATTGGGATCAGGAAAGGCTTTATTTCTTGCCAGAGGAGTTGGTGGAAGGGGTGGTCTCCATTTCTGGGAGAAATGAGGGTGGTGAGGAAAGGTACTCTTTGRTAAACTGACAGATAAAGCTTCAGCATTACTTGTTCTACAGGGGAGCAGAGTCCCAATGTGTCTCTGATGCAGAGAATGTCAGACATGCTGTCAAGGTGGTTTGAAGAAGCCAGTGAAGTTGCACAGAGCAATCGAGGACGAGGAAGATCACGGTCCAGAGGTGATTTCCTTCTTTTCAACAATGATTACCACAGAAATTGTGTTTATATAGTGGATGAGCCGGCTTGCAGTATCAGCCTTTCTTAGGTGTAAACAAAATTCTGATGCACTGAACAACTGAACACSTTTATTTGCCATAGGAATGGTAATGCAGAGGGATCTTTAGAGGCAGARTAAGTTTACTTTTGAGCTCTTTTTCTTGCTCTTTTGTTTTATTTTTAATCAAAGGTGGGACTAACCGGACAGATACTCCTGCTACTAATAACATGCCACCTAGTAGAGAATCAGAAACTGCAATGGAAGTAGATGGTTCTGAACAGCTTGCATCATCTTCCTCTTCTACCATGTCAGCTCCAGCTCCTTCAACATCATCTTCAACAGAAAGTCCCCCTTCAACTTCATTACTGTCCTCTCCTGATAATGAACAAAGGCCTTCTTTGGGGGCCTCGACTCAGCCTGTGCTGCATCAGTCTGGTGAGAAGAAATCCATCTTGTCATTGTTTATCAAAAATGCTTTCAATAAGAAACTATTCACTTTTAGGATATTTTGGGTAATGGATCTCCATCTGTTTTCTTCCTTGCATATCCTTAATGAGACTTAGGTGTTTTGTAGATACCAAATGTTTGCAGGTGTGGTTTAAAGAAAGAGTAAAACCATCAACTCTATCTTTTGTCKGAAACAGACAATTTCAAGGGGATCATCAGTGTGGTATTTTGAGGTAGAAATAAACTTTTTTTGCTCATTATTTCATAAACTTACTGTTGTCTTCATGGAAGTGTTGCCATCTTCCACTGTGATTTGGCTGTAGCAGCGTCAGTGCAATGAATAGCAGAACCTGTGCCTGTTACAATCAGGAGAAGCAGGGAATCTCTCCTGCAGGAGGAACCTCCATCATCAACGTTTCAGTGTCAGCAATGTTGRGTTTTAGCTTTTCAAAAGTATTTGGATAAACAAGGCTCACCGGGCATGACATTTTATTCAATTATAAATTATACCACATATTGATATTTAAGTTTGTGTATCTTCAAGAAACTCATCTGAATTTAATACAGACTTACATTCTTTCTGCAGAAAAAGAAGGAAGTATATTCTGCTCTCAGAGTGTCAGAAATTAATTTGGGTAGTTACAGAGAACSTTATGCCTTGACCTGACTTTTTCCATCTTCATGCAGGAAAAGATGCCTCAGCCTTTAGAGCAGAATATTTGCACAAGAGTATATTTTTACTTTTTTAAAGTGAGTTCCTAGGCCTCACAGTTATAATGGAAAGGCTGATGTTAACTGAAAGAGTGATGGGTTTAGACCTTTTGTCTTATATAGATTCTTGAAAAAAATCAAGCTCTTTGTCTTTGGAAAAGTGACTGATAGCATCTTCAGGCCTTATATTTGATATTCTGGAGTACAGCAAAGATGGTGATTTCCCTGGGAAGAGTGTGCCATTCAATGTATTGTGGCTGCTGCAGCCAAAATCTTTGGGACAGGTGAGAAATYATGAGGTACCTCGTATCTCAAAGATAGGGAAGATGAAGACGCGAGTTGAAATTCATGAAACATGTAACGTTTGCTTTTTAAACCTTATGATTATTTGATACTTATTTAGAGATAATGAACAGTGAGCAGAAGAATGATAATACACACGGAAATTTACAAGATGCTAGGAAGTTTATTTAGTATCAGGGGCTTTTAGTCACCTATGTTTTTTATTAGTATTGGTGTCATCTTGCTGCAGTCTCGAGTTCTTCCACAATATACACACAAAAAGGTGACTAAGGGGTCTCCTCTAATTCAGTGCAACCCAATTTAACTTCACTGTCTTTGATCTGGGAGAATGACCATCAAAGAACRCATGTAGCATTACCAAAGGTTCCTTTTGGTCTATTTATTTATTTATTTTAAAGTATATGGTATAATCTGTATCATTRAGACTTTGTGGGTTTCATAAAGACAATGCACCAAAGAGCGTTTCTAGAACTGTGATGCATTTTCTAGCCTGCATTTTAAAAAATCTATGCTGACCAGAAAGATCTTTTTCTCTGAATTTGCTTGAATTTCTGAGCAAAAGTTTATTCTGCTAGCATGAAGCTGAAGTTATTTCTTAGTCCAGCTCTTCTTTAAGAGCATTTCCTCTTTCCTAGTGTTACTTTGGACTTAAGACTCCYCATGTATTTAGTTGTGAAACAGGTAGTGATGGTTGTTTTGTTGACAGACAGTGGATAGTTTCTAATTTGCTGTGTAATATTTGATAAATCCTTTGATCCTAAGCAGGGTGTCAGATCGGCGGCTTAAAATTGCCTGCAGAATTCCTGCAGGCAAAAACTAGATAGTACAAAGTGTTTGCACACCTAATAAGCATCCTGTTTTAGAAGCAGTGCAAATGAGGCATTGGAGTGACTGTAAAACAAGTTTTTGGGTAACATGGGTAGGTTCAGGGAGAGGGGAAGCTCCTGGGCAGAGGGAGAGGTCATGGCACAGCAGTAGCTCTGGGTTTATGAATGAGCAGCCTGGGTTGGGYGTGTCCATTTTGCAGTGTTTATGTACCCTTGTAACCCATGGCTGTGCTCAGTTGTAAGTTTTTATTTACTCACACTCTGTAGTCTGCAAATCTCTCTGCAAGCACTGCCCTCTGCATCAAGGACAGGATTCCCTGAGATTGTTCACCTATTTCAAGGTGAATAAAACCTGCTGCATTTTCTGCGGTGACAGGAGAGGGAAAGTGCTGAGAGGAATAGCAGTTTAAATGCAGGGGGGCTAATTAGGAAGCCCAGATAGAGGTGTGTTGTAAGAGGTGGATGACAGGAGAGGCGTTTTGGAAAATGGAAGAAGGAAAGAAAGAGGTTTTCAGCCACCATTTTGTGTAAAGTCATAGCAGAAAAGTCTGAATGTTGTAGCAAAGAGTCAGTGGATGAAGAATGTGTTTCAGGAAACAACTTCTTTAGAATCAGAACATGAATTCCTTACCCAGGCTTGTAAATAACTTTCCATAAATCATTTCTACAGATTTCTGCACTGAACATGGGCACTTGTGGTAATCGTGTGTTTAAAAGAGCAATACTTTTCCCATCAGTGTCACATTTCAAATATATTGTTGGTTTGGTGTTCCAGAAAACATGTCATGTGGTGAGCATTTGAGCTTCTACATCTGAATTACTTTTTAAAATATTAAGAGACGAAATACCTGTTCAAAATAGAGCAGTACAAAAATGGTTTACTGCTGGAGCTTTTTGGGTTAAAAGGTCTCTAGCAGAAAGTATATTCTAGAAGTTTGAACATTTAAATTACAATTAACAAAATCACTGCAAAGTCTGAGTAGCTTGTTACTGCCAGTACTTTTGAATATTTATGTATATATATATATTTTTAATATGAGAACAATGCTATGAAGCCTCAACTACAGGGAAAGTCTGAAAATAAAAATGAATTAATAATAAAGTATAATTTTAAGGGTTTAGCTGTTCTGTCACCTATTTCCATAGTTCCAGTTTACTTTTTGCACTGGTTTGTTTTGATCAAAACTGTACCTTTCTTTTACATTTTGTAACATCAGGAGGCTCTTACATTAATTTTGAAAACCTACCTGTAGCCCACAATTGCATAGCTTTACACCACAGATATTCTCATTTGTTCTGTGTGTTAGGAACATAAAAATGAATACATCTGTTGTGTGCTTTGTTTTGACTTAACCAGGCTGTATCTATTTTCCTTAAATAATTTTTTGTTAAAGGGTTTCATTGCTGGCAATGGGGAGGAGGTTGTATTGTATGGCACAAATCCTGAATATTTAAGTCCTGTGATTCATGCCTTTAGGAAGAGAAAAACAATTTCAGTATTTCTATTTTATAACTGCTGGATGTTAGTAATTTTTTTCATGGTAATGGCACTTAGTATGTGTTACTTCTCTCTTTGGTCAGTCCCCTTTCTCTGTTCTGTATATTGACTGATCAATGCTTCTCTCTTTACACCCTTTCTCTGTCTCCCCTCCCTGTTTGTCAGAGTTAATGGGACCCGAGTTAGCAATAATCCGTAGGGGCCTGCAGCGACTGAGGCTTAAGAAGGCAGAACAGCAGAGACAGCGAGAGCTTGCTGAGGGTTCTGCACCCCAGCCCTCCTCCTCTCAGGGCTCCTCACAGGACGCTCAGGCATCAGGTTGTCACTTGACAAGGTTTCTCCTGCAGATGATGTAGCTGTAGTTTGTGCTGCTGTTGTTTGCTGAGATGCTTCTCCTTCAGAACAAGGCATTTCCTGCATTCGCTGCTTGTCTTGCCTTGCATGTGGTGGTGTTTATCATCACATGGGTAGGGAAAGAGTYGTTTTGGCAGGTTTATTTATCTAACATGTTTGGATTGAGTGATACTGTGTGGAAATGGTTTTCTAGGTGCATGGTGTTGGGTATGTGCAGTATTCCTTAGCAGCTGAGCAAGAAATTGCCATGTCCTGAGTACAATGAGAATTACRCACTGGAAATTGCATTTTGGTGCTACTTGTATCCAATAGTAACTTTTACAACTTGGCTTTGGGTTAGCATATGTTCTTAATCAGAGTAACAATTCAGTTAAACAGAGTTTTGGCACTCTCCAGTGCTATGGTTTTACAGTAATAATGAAAATACTTCTACCAGCCAAGTCCCCAGATGTGCTCTCCTTTTCTGAACAGAGCGACATTTTATTTCACCATTTCTTTCTCTCTTGTCTTATTGAGATTCAAAATGATTACAAGAAAGCCTCAAGTATGTTTGCAATAACATATTTGAGAAAGTTAAGGTAGAAGCATACATATGAATAAAGAGGCAAATCATAAAGCATAAACTTGAAGCAAACTTTGCCATGGCACCATGTGAAAACGAGCGAGTTGCATGCTGTGTGAGAATTCAGTGTATTTTGTGTTGCAAAGTCATGTCCAGCAGTGTCTTTTCTGTGGATAAATCCTGTGACAGTTGAGATGTGGCTAAATTGCTTATAAGGATTGTGTCACACATTCACAGCTGCCTTGCCATGGTTCAGTCTATTCCTTAATCTCGAGCCCTACAGAGCAATTTGATCTAACAGTAGCTGATGCTCCAGTCACAATATGCAGTTACTGAATTTTGAATAACTTTCTACACAGAAAATTCTGCCGTGAGATTTTAGGATGTTTTGGAAACCAGTGCATCCTGGGAGGGGTGTGTCCTTATCCTAGGGGTGTCAGCCATGGATGCCTGTTACCTGTGGACAGAGAACAAGAAAAGCAGTGATAG